AATCAGATTATCAGATGTTCGCAAAAGCGTGAAACACAAGGTCTCAAACTCATATCCATACAGTAGAATATATTAGATCTGTCACTGATATTTAGCGCTTTCCATTAAGTACTGCGCATACAAAATTTATTTATATTATATATATATATATATATATATATATATATATATATATATATATATATATATATATATATATATTCGTCCATGAGCATCTTAGTCTCCTTCTATGTATAGTGTCCCTTTAGGACGTAGGTGACGAACTCCCTGTCATTTGTGGCTCTTAGCAATTTTGTCTTTTTTTATTCACTGTTCTGCAGTCTATTTACGCAAGGTTTTTAGATACATTTATCGTTGGTTCTTCTGTCCCTATTGTGTTCCAGAGAAATTTCAATTATCGCATTCTGAATGTAATTATAAGTTAAGTGGCAAGTATAAGTTTCTTTTTTGATTCCTTTTTCTCTAACACTTCCTCTTTGATTACATGTTCCGCCCTTTGGCATTTTCAACATCTTTCTGTAGAATCACATATCTATTGCCAAATCTTTTCTTCTTTTAATGTGAAAATTGTCCAGCATTTACTGTTGTATAAGAGGATTGATATTATATGGTATTTCTACACGCTTTTCTTTGTTTGTAACGGAATGTCACTGTTTATTTTAGTGTTTGGAAGACATTCATGTTATTTCACTGCGGGTTCAGATTTCAGTGTCACCTTTTCCGTTATCTGCTTTACAATTTTTTTTACTAATAATCACCGAATGCAAAGCCCAAGAGCCACTCAAGGCAGGGATTACTGTGTTATTATATTAGCGTAGGAAAGAACCAGCGTTAGGAGTACAGAGCTGAAGTAGACATTAAAAGGTATCCAATTCTAAACAAGAAACAATGAATAAACTTTATTCTTGTTTAAAAGACCGGGAGATGTCTGAACCGGACGATACACGAACCAATTTCCAGCTTTGCCGAGTACAGTCAGAGCCAAAGTCACAAGTGCTGCGTAATAGATCATAGTCAAATCAATTTGAAAGCGGGAACTTTGAAATACTAGTTTATTATCTATTATATTGCGGTGATACTGCCAATATATATACTGACCAATATCTGTCTATATTTCTGTACATTATTTACATTATTCGGACTATTGTCCTCATGTTTGTCGACATATTTCGCCGTTGTGCGTTCAGGATAGAATGTCGAACTGAACCCTTTATTTCACTGGGGTAGACTGTTCGTTCCATGTGCCATGTTTAATGGATGTCAGTTATCAGTTATCTCCTGTTAATTTTCCCTCTGGTAGTTCTCCACTGCCTTTGCCGGGTATTGAACTCACACGCCTTGGATTATGTCACTGGATCTAACCAACGCCTTTATCCACTGGCACAGTGAATAAAGGCCTTGGTTAGAAGTTCAATACCCGGCTAAGGCAGTGGAGAACTTTCAGAGAGAAAATTAGCAGGAGATAACTGACATCCATTAAACATGGCACGTGGATCTGGAATAGTCTACGCCAGTGAGCGAAATAAAGGTTTCAGTTCGACATTCCAACCACCTGAAGAAGTCCGGAGCGTACAACGGCCGAAACGTTGTAATAAATATGGCGACAAAGATGAGGACAATAGTCCGAATAATGTAAATAAAGTATATACTGACCAATTCATAAACTCATGTTACAGAGTTTTAGAATTTATACTGTTGAATGTTGTGGTGTCAGTATTATCAGCCTGGAAAATGGAATAGTCTAGTCGAGTCTGTTGCATTCACTTTCACATTAATGTCCCAGGAAATGTCATGAATCCGTTTACTTTTGCCTGGACAATGGATTAAGTCCGAGGGTAGATTGTGCTCTCTAGCCTTTGCTGTCATTCAGACTAGGTAAATGACAATACTGGTTTCGAAACCGTGGTGAAAACAAAGGAAAGCCACTCCACATTCTTTCATAGGTAAAAAGGTAGGAAGCTGTGCAGAGTCATAATTGGCAATGTCATGAAGTAGATGGTATTTATAATTAAACAATACAAAAATTAACTAATAATTAATGAGATTGTGTAAATGAACAAGAACTGAAAGGTTTAATAAAAGGATAAGCATTAAATCGGGCGACAAATGATGGGACGTTCGGGAGAGCTAAGATCGCTACGGTACATAAAAATATGAAGTTCTTGTCTTTGAAATAGATGATACTTAAACAAACACATATCCTTTAGCCAAACAGTACATGACTGAAACGTTATGTCTATTATAAAATTTGTATTGATAATAACACTACTAAAACTACCACCACCACCGCCACCACCTTCTTCTTCTTCTTCTTCTTCTTCTTCTTCTTCTTCTTCTTCTTCTTCTTCTTCTTCTAGTCCTCCTCCTGCTGTCTCTCTTGAAGACTTTGGCGATTATGGCTATGGCAGCTTCCTGTCCCATGTGCCTTTTAGTAGGGTTTGTCTTTTTGCTATCTCTCCTAATCTGCTAACCATTTACGGAATCTCGTTTGGTACGTTATTCGTTACTTTCCCCTGTCTCTCTTGCTTTCAGAATGCCCGGTGAGTGTCAAATTCTCCATTACATCAATCAATGCTTTTTCCATAACACTAGTAACAATAAAACATGTAAAGAAAATTTTCGAGTAAGTCCAAGTATTAAATTGAGTCATAATTAATTTCCGTTTTAGGGAACCAACTGTAATAACGTATGCATCATTCTAACTCTACGTGGCGGCTAAGGATAAATTTTGGGTACACTAACATACGGCAATGATCAAGGGAAAAGACATTGTACTGATAGGGATAAATCGATACAATCCACCAGAAAAGATGAGCTACATTGTAGAGAGGTAATATTAATCATGTGGTGGGATTCATTTACACTTCTTAAAACGCAGTGAAGCACTAAACGCACATTCATTCGTCCAGCAGCTGCAACCTGTCCATAAAAGTTTGGTCGAAAATCGCCCTACGCTTGTCAATAGAAAAAATCTTGCTCTTCTTTATGACACAGTAAAGCCATATGCATTGAGAATAACGCAAGAAAACAATTTGGAACTCGGTTGGTCTGTTCTATCTCACCCGCCATATTTACCAGACCATGCACCAACTGATTATATTTTTTAATCACTGCAAAACGCTTTGGTGGGGAAAAAATTTCTCTAATGAAAACCAGATTCAAGTGGTCGTTAATAACGTTTTCACATCAAAATAAGGCGAATTTTACTCATGAGATATGGAAGAGCTGCTTGATAAGTGGCAACAATGATTGCATATAAATGGGAAAATATACTCGAAGAAAATGCATTCCCTTTTTTTTAGATTTCCAGTGTTTCTTGTTCTATAAAGCACTTCGTGGGTGATTCAAGTGTGCCAGGTTCGATTAATGTTTTTATTTATAAAATTTCCCAACTTTTTGGTAAGAGCTAGATGTTTTTTCTTTTTTTCTTCTTCGAGATTCATTCCGTCCTCTTTTGGATCTATTTACCCTCTGAAAATCCTCCATTTTTACGATGACAAGGTATTGTTTACGTGTCTGGGTCGGGTAAAGCATTTAAATTTCACCCTCCCCCCTAGAAGTTTACCTTTAATCTTTACAACAGGCGGTACGAAAACATTCAGTATTCTCATTCTTTATTATTTACATGCTGACTAGTGTTCTCAGTTTTGTTGTTTTTATTACAGTTTTTCGGCTTTTGTGTTCACCGACATTCATCAGGTCGATTCGGATAATCTCCGTAATGATTCAATAGCCTTCAAAACACAAAGTTGAAAATTCCTTGAAGGAAAAGCACCTCATAAAAATCGGAGAGCCCAACGATGATGACAATATTCCACATTTAATAAATATAAAAGTCCTCACCCGAGAAATTCAGACAGAAATTCAATATTATTGCATTTAATTACAACTATTAAAATAATATTTAATACTCTTACTCACTTTTACCAGAATTCCTATAAGAGTCTGCGGAAGAACATCTCCCAGAAATACGTCGCACATAATGTCAAGACACCATTATTGCCATTAATGCCTTACCGTTATGTGAGACGTATTTCTGGGTGGTATATCAGCTTCATCCTGTACAAACTCGCTCCCAACAATAGCAAAATTCTGCAGTCACAATTTCAAATTCAAGACCACTTGCTATCAATTCATGACACTCAAACACCTACCCACAGAAACGCGTCCATAAATTTCATACTGAAGGATGAAAACGCGGTTTCAAATATAACGAATCCTATTAGGGTCGGAGGGGCCTCATTTACTGCAGTAGAATTAGTGTGTCTTGGGTAATATAGCCTGACAGAGGCCAACCCTCTCCAGGCCAGTTTGAATTCAGTTTCCGTTCTCTGATACTGGCTGCAACCCAAGGCTATATAACCCAGTTTGCCCTATTATTTACCGATAACTGAGGGGAGAAGATTTGGATTCAAACTTTTTCCCAAGGATATTAGCACGTAAATGAATGTAATGAACTCAACTGGAACTGGAACTCTGTTCTCTGATTCCTCAATCCGCGGAATCGGAGAGGAATGCGTAATCAATTACTCTATCGTGCCTCCTATATTTCGAATATGGCCGATGGTTAAATCGAAAGTTGACTCTCTCCATTGACGGGCCCTTGAGCACCGAGCTTGTAATCCAACGTCAAGTGAAGTAGAACTAAAAGAAAAAGAAACAAATTCTAAAATATTTCATTGACGCTACCAAAAATATGCGGAATAGCCTGCAAAATAAATACAATCTTGAAAAGCAGAATACGTTTTTTATAGCAACTCATATCAATACTCAACCTGTTACTATTACTACGACTATTACTATTAGTAAGGTTATTACTATAGATCGTAATGCTTCATGTCCCCTTCCAATAACCCCTCAATTCCATGTCTCGGGATCCCCTTAATATCCAGTCAATAAATAAGCTCCATTTACCCTCCCCACTAAAAAAAAAAAAAAAATGAAAAAATAATAAATTCGCCTACTCATCTTTTAAAGCGCCCATTTTTACGCATTAGAATTCATTGGGTTCTGGGAGGGAAGGGAGAGAAAGCGAGTAAATAATTAACTGAAGAAAAGAAGCAAGAGCAAAAAGCGATGTGGGGCGGGGAATGAAGAGCGAGAACGAAAAGAAAGAGGAAAACTAGAAAAAAATGAGAAAGCTAAAAGAATGAGAAAACGAAGAATAAAAAAGAAGGAACGAGAAGAAAAGTTGAGAGGGATTTTTTTTTTCAGTGTTAAGAAAACGAAAGAAGAAAAAAGAAATCGCAGGCGAAATGGAGGTGGAAAGAATCAAGAAAATGGAGGTGGAAAGAATCAAGAAAATGGAGGTGGAAAGAATCAAGAAAATGGAGGTGGAAAGAATCAAGAAAATGGAGGTGGAAAGAATCGCGAAATGGAGGTGGAAAGAATCAAGAAAATGGAGGAAAAAAAAAAAGAAGGAAAAAAGAAACAAAGGAAAGAAAAAGGGACAAAACAAAAATTTGGTTGGAAACGAGGGTGCCAGGTCGATAAGAAGGGAAAAGTAAAAGAGAGAAAGAAAGGAAATAGGGAAACCAAGATAGAACGAAAGAGAAGGAGAAAGAGAGGAAAAATGAGAAAAGGAGAGAGAGGAAGGGAAGAGGAAATAAGATAAAGAAAAGAAACGGAGGGACATCAATGAGAAAACTGACAGAAAGAAATAGAAAGCAAAGAGAAAGAATAGGTGTAAAAGAAAATAATGAGAAAATAGAGAGAAAGAAAAGGGTTAATCAGAATGAGAGAATAAGAAAGGGAGTAGAAAGGAGAAACAGAGAAAATAAAGAGGAAAATCAAAATGAGAGATTGAGAGACATCACGGCGAAATGAAGAACAGAAAAAGAGGCAAGGCAGATAGCAATAGGGGAAGATGAATAAGCAACAGAAAAGTGAGATAGGCAGAGTAAAAGAAAGAATTTGCTTAACAAGACGGACAGAGATAAGAGAAGATAAAGAAAAAAGAAAAAAAAAAACAAGAGAAGGATGAGAAATACATGGAGTAAGCAAGAATGGACCAAAATAGACAGCCAACAAAATTAGAAATGTTGAGAACGTGAAAAGAACGGGATTGCTACCGAGAGGAGAAGTGGAAACGTGAGCCATAAAAATCAATGAACACTGAACATCAGATGATGTTTCGAGCAGATTCTCCTCCTTATTTTGCGCCAAATGACTTTTGAATTTAACATGGCGAGTGTGACTTGAATATAGTTTTTCTTTTATTGTGTTTTCGTCTTGTTATTTCATTTCTTTCCATGTATCGCCATCACCAAACATCCACCTGTTCTTTTTAACGTTTAATCATATTTAGTTATGCATTTAAAATTGCTATTCTTTGCTATTCTCATTCTTTCTGGCTATACAGTGCTTTCCATTCATTTCTTTTCGACATTTCTTCTTTTCTTTGAACTTTCTTTCATTTAGTCCTGACTATTTCACGCTTTCCTTCCATATTTTGCCATTTCTTTCTTTCATTTTTTTGGTCTTTGCTTTTTTTTTTTTTTTTATCTTTCCTTTATTCATTTCGTCTTTTCTTTCTTTCTTTTTGTCAATGCATTCAATCTTTTGGTCTTTTCCTTTCATTCTTTTGTTTTTTTTCCTTTCTTTCTTTTTGTCTTTCCTTTCTTTTTTGTCATTCCTTTATTTCTTTCTGCTTTTCCTCTGATTCCTTTGGTCTTTCCTTCCTTTCTTTTTGTCTTTCCTTTATTTCTTTTGATCGTTCATTTCTTTCCATCCTTCCTGCATTTCTTTTTGTCTTTCCATTCTTTCTTTCTTTCTTTTTTTCTTTCTTTCTTTCTTTCGTTTGGTTTTTCATTCTTTTGAACTTTGCTTTTTTTTTTCTTTAGGCCTCTTTTCGTTTGTTTGTTTTTTTTTTACTTTCTGTAGTTCTTTTTTTTTTAATTTTATTCCTGACTATCATTCATTTTTTTTTCGTCATTTTTCCTTACTGTTTGTTTTTCTTTGAGTTCTCTGGGTTTTCTTCCTTTCCCCCTGGCTATTCGTGCTTACTTTTCCTTTTCATCATTTCTTTCTAGTTTTCCTTCCTTTTTTATGACTGTTGAATTTCCTTAATATTTTTGGTGATTCCTGTCTTTCTTATAGTCTTTCCTTCTTTTTCTACAGAGGAATTCGTGCTTCTTAATTTCTTATAGTTTTACCTTCATTTTTTCGATCATTCCACACTTTCATTTTTTAGTCTTTCTTTTCTAAATAATTATTCACATTATTCCTTCGCTTTTATCACTTTCTTCCTGATTCTTTCGAGATTTTACTTCATTTGTTTTTTACCTTTCCTTCATGCATTGATTATTCCTGACTTACATTTAGTTCTTCCTTTCTTCCTTCTTTTTCGTCTGAATTTCATTCTTTTTCCCATTTCCTTATCTTCTACACCTCTCCCTTTAACCCATTTTCTTTCCTTTTCTTCATTTCATCCTCATCATTTTCATTTCTTTCTTTAAATACGTCTAACACTTTCATTCATCCATTCCTCCTTTTCTTTCTCCAATTTTCATTATTGTTTTTGTTTTCGTTTTTCTCGTCATTGTTTCTTTTGTTATTTCTTTCTTTTCTACATTCAACCAAATTCGTTCTTTCTTTCTTATTTTTTCTCCTACCACCTTCTGTCTTTATCTACTCATATTCTTATTTCTTCTTTCCTTCTTTTCTTTATTTTCTGCTTTACATTTGTATTCCTTTCTTTCATCCTTACCACTTTGCTTTTTGCCTGTCACGGATTTAAAAAAAAAATCAATTTACCGCAAGCAAAGCGATAACGTCACTAAGACGCAGGGGGGCTAATAGCAGTGAAAGAGAAAGAACAGACTTTAAAAAGGAAGCGGAAACCCAAATATTAGTATAATTTTTAAGAATTTAGGGAGAAACGTTGGAAGTATAGAGTTGAAGTAGAATTTATAAGGAACCGGAAACACAATCTTAAGAAGGAAACAAAGGACGAACCTCTACTCCTGTTCAAAAGACTGAGAAGAATTGTGAATTGATTGCAGAATAAATAAATAATAAATAAATAACTGTGAAAAATTTCAGAGTTTAGGCAGAGTCCTTAGAAGTATTGAGTTTAAGCAAACATTAGAAGGAACCAGAAACCTAATCCTAAACAGGGAATAGACCTCTAATCCTGTTCAAAAGATCGATTGAAAAAGATTTTAAAAAAAAGATTAGAAGATGTCTCTTTTCTAACAATGAGCATTCAAAATTTTGAATTTTACTCAGGCTTGGCATCGAAAAAAACATGCAATTATCAAAACTAAGAAAAAGCTTGTTATACACTTCAATTTTGGGACAAGGCACAATCTTAATGAAGCCCGAATTTATTACGTTAATACATTGGCTTGTAAAGTAAGCTTGTAAACTTACTAACCATTGCGCTACGGTAGGCGTCGTCATCGCTTCAATTTTTAAAATTTCCCTTTACATTTTTGACTTTTTTACGAGTGTTCTATCTTTCTTTTTATATTTGTTCTCATATTTATTCTTTCTTTCTTTCCTTCTTATATTTTTCTTTTTCTATCTTTCTTTCATATATTTGTTTATTTTTCTCTCACTTTCTCATGTGTTCTTTATATCATATTCGTTCTCCTCTTCTTTCTTTTTTATGTCTTCTTTCTTTCCTTCTGATTTCTTCTTTCATTTTATTTATTTCGTCATTCTATCCTTCTTACTCGTCTTTCTTCTGGTCGCATTCTTCATTTCCTAGTTTTTCTTCTTTAATCTGCCTTCATTTCATTCATTACTTCTCTCTCTCTCTCTCTTTCTCTCTTTAAATTTTCTGCCATTTTTACTTTCTATTTTAGTCGAACACATTTTCTGATCAATCACAGTCATAAATAAGCTAATTCCAGATTTAGTAGGAGACTAATACGACAAACACGCATTTTTTCATATTTTTGTTTTTCTGGTTTTTCATTTTTTGACTTTCATCTCATTTTCGGTCAGGATTTAAAAATTCCATTTTCTATAGGTTTTCCTTAAATTTATACTGGTTTTATTTCATTTTTGATAATATTCGTTTCGTATTTCATTTGATTTATGTCACAATTTTTAAGTTTTTTTATTTGCTCAACTTTACTTTCGGATGATGATGATGATGATGATGATGATGATGATGATGATGATGATGATGATGATGATGATGATGATGATGATGATGATGATGATCATCATCATCATCATCATCATTATCATCATCATCAAAGAAAACCATTCATAGGTCTCAGGTGAAAGAATTGGTAAATGGCTTTATCAGGCAGTAAACCAAATATAATGAACAACAACAATAATAGTATTAGTGTGTATTAATAACTAGCAGTAGAGCCCGGCGTTGCCCGGGGATGTAACAGTAAGAGATAGATCAAGTATCGACCATCATAAAGACTAAAAAATAAAATTGACAAAGATTATTGTTTAAGGTTGACGGACACGCATGTCTTAATTATTTTTTTTTTTTTTTACGAATTGGTCAAACCCAAACTCAAACAAAAACATTGTTTTCAATCGTTATGAGTCTACCGATTGAATAGAATTTTATTATAAACAATTGTCTTGTAAATAGAATTTTTAAAGCATTCTGAATGTAAAAATAAAGAAAAAAGTGTGCAAGACGATAAGTAACACTACCTGCCAAAAAAAAAAGTGAAGTTTTGTTGAAATCGGTTGAAAAATGTAGGAAATCTGATCCCATATATAAACGAACACACACACACACACACACACACACACACACACACACACACACACACACACACACACACACACAACCTGGGTTTTATAACAAGTATAACTCGATATGAGTTGTCCCCCTTTCATTCTCGCAATGCCTCTTAATCATTTTTTCAAATTGATTTCGTGTAAAAACAATTGGGTTTTTCCAATTTTGGGCGCTGTCAGAACCACCGCAAGGTAATTTTACGTAGTCCTGTGAAGTTTTGTTGAAATCGATTGAAAAATGTAGGAAATCCGATCCAATATGTAAACGTACACACACACACACACACACACACACACACACACACACACACACACACACACACACACACACACACACACACACACACACAACCTGGGTTTTATAATAAGTATGATGCCATGATGCCACATGAAGGATAGTTCCCATAGATTTTTATTTAACTAATTGGATTGATTGAGTAATTTTGTATGCCTTATCAACCGTTTGCAGGTAATTTAAAGCGTCAAAATATTTTTACGTTGTAAGATTTTTCATTTAGATAATAATCGTTTAATGATACAAGTCTTACTAATCAACCTATAGTTGTGGGATGAAGAAGTGGATTCATAACTTTCTCAATGGTATTTGCGCGTGAGTGAATATAACGAACCTAATTGGAATTGGAACGCAGTTCTCTGATTAAGAAATTTCGAGCAATTATACACCAACAGCACATTCAAACTTACAGCAGCTGGTATTCTAAAGCGGTCAGGTGCCCATTTTTTACAAATAAGAATGTCTATACAATCATACGGAAAAGTTCTGTTTTCGGGACCAACAAAAATGGATTTCAGAAACAAATTATGATGTTTGATCATCTGGTCAGATTTTAGAAGTGTATCATTCCTCATATTAAAGAACATACTGGAATAATACTTGAGTTATTTAATTGGAACTATTTGAAATCATCATATCTATTATTTATATCGTAACATTTACACCATATTAAATATTTTATAGTGAATACGTTTACAGTTTCATATATATAATGACTATAATTGGTAACAGAAGCCATTGGTTTATACCAACGGATTCCCATATTTCATACTTCTTCAATTCACTCTCGCGTGGTTATGTGTGACGTCCTGAGATGCGGTGCGATTTTCGCTTCTAGCGTCTTATATGCACGTGTTTATCGTTGCTTAGAAATCATCTATGTAAACAATGACCGACTATCATCACTGTCTTGTCCGTATATTGCTTAATATATTGTAATTGACATCTTTGATAATGGCTTATGTAAGCCGAAAGCTTAGATTGTATTAAAAAATATGTATCAATATTGTGAATTTCTTTCTTCGTTCAATGATAATGTTATTAAACTTATCAGACGTTATGAAAAGAATTTACATAAAATAAATAGACAACACTTGTCTATATTATTTAATGAAACGTGTATGAATGAAAAGATGCTGCTAAACACACACATATATATATATATATATATATATATATATATATATATATATATATATATGAAGAAAATATACTGAAAAAACAAACAAAAATACTAATATGCGATTATGCTGTTTTAATGTTTTTAATGTCAACGTCGGACGTTTCGGTCTAATAGACCATCTTCAGGACATATTCATAAAACATAATTAACATAGACCATATACAATTCAACATGAAAAAGACGATGGACATAAAAGCAATACCAATCCAAACAGATAACTGAAATCTTTTATAAGATCAGCGTTCCGTTTAAATATGATTACGTCGTCGTCACGTGGGCGATGTTGTGAAAATGTATTCCTAAAATTTGAGTATTTTGAATGAAAAACGAAAAGAATTTTATTTTGATCTAAAACTTATATGTACGTTTGTCGAGCATTAATCTTGCTAGAAAAGGGGAAATATTAAAGAAGCCAGGTCTAGTGTTCGTGTTGAATTGTATATGGTCTATGTTAATTATGTTTTATGAATATGTCCTGAAGATGGTCTATTAGACCGAAACGTCCGACGTTGACATTAAACATTAAAACAGCATAATCGCATATTAGGATTTTTGTTTGTTTTTTCAGTATATTTTTCTTCATACTGTCGGATCTATATCCATATATTTGTATATATATATATATATATATATATATATATATATATATATATATATATATATATGTGTGTGTGTGTGTGTGTGTGGAATTCTAATGGCGTTTCCGTAGCATAACAATGGTTGATCATCATTTGGAAAAAGCATTGATGTTTTTGCAGTAACACGTGTATGAAGTCACACACACACACACACACACACACACACACACACACACACACATATATATATATATATATATATATATATATATATATGAAACAGTAAAGTATTCACTTTAACATATTTGATATGGTGTAAATGTTACGGTACAAATAATATATATTATTATTTCGAATAATTTAATAAGGAGTTTGAATTGAATAACTCAAATATAATTCCACTATATTCTTTTCAGTGTTATTTGCATAACAAGATGACATAACACTCTAGGATGAGATAGATATAACTACTAGAAAAGTGTAATTAAGGTTGTGTAATAATTAACATCATAAATTTGAAGAAGTAATATTTGCCTTCAGCATATACAGGGTGGGCTGAAAACAGGTTTACAGTCGTGACACTATTTGTTCCACGTGTTAGATATAATTTATCTACAATATTACTGTTCTTTCAGCAAAAGGGAGCACTTCTCCATTATGCTTTGGCTGCAAGGGACTACCTTAACGAAACCTCCCACACCGTTGGTTCGGAAGCAGGGCAGCATCGAGTGACCCCGACGTTCACCTGACACCAATGTATTTCTTTTTGGGTGTGTAGTGAAGAACAAGGGTTTATGAGATAAATCCTCACACAGTAGATGAACGAAAAGAGTAAATCTCAGAAGTATTTATTGCAATTGATGCAGATCGCTATTTGTGTCGTGCTATGTGTCATAGTGTTCTGGAGAAGTCCAAGGAATGTTGCAATGTTGAAGGAGGAAGTTTTGAGTATTTAAGAG